GTCCAGTTTGCAGGAAAAAGCTAACAAAGAAACAGTATCATCCACTTTTCATATAAAAAAAAAAAAATTGAATGTCAGTTAAAACATTGGTATAGTGTTAATAGTGACTATTTCCTATTACCTTACAACATTACTTAACTTGTGAAAGGAAACAAGGGTGCAACTCTGTGTACACAAGGAAACCCACATTCAGTTACCCACTCATGATTAGAAAAGGAAAAACTTCATTCTCTGTATAACATATTCCTTGTTTGTGTAAATCTTGTGTGTCAGTGTGTTGGAACTAATTTTAGAGAAGATCTAGGATACCGAGTGAAGTAGCACAAAAAATCATGAAATTCTTGAGCACAATTGTTTTCTTTCTTGTGAATTTAGAATCAAATGACTTTTTCTTTAAGATATTTTCTTACCACAGAAAACCAGTGTTGGAAAATGTTGAATGAAATTGAAGTTGTAAAAGTGAGTATTAGAGAGAACGGGAAAAATAATTATTTTTTTATTACTTGACTTGCATATAAAGTTATGGGGATAGTGACTTTTCTGAAACTATAATATATATAACTGTGACCAAGTGGATGTATTAGTTTGGTGAGGGAAATAAAGTAGGAGAATAAACCTCTGACTGTGCAGGTTTATTTAACACAAATAATTATCAAAATTTAAAGAATAGTAACTTATGAATTCTCAATTTTACTTGGTCTTTTTATTAGTGCATTAATGTTTATTATAGTTGCTCTTCAAAAAGCATTTAAATTCTTCTACTTAATGGCCATTAAAACAAAATTGGCCAAAAAATGTTTTTAAGTTTCATTATTTCATTTTTCGTTAGCATTGATAAAATTTTTATATTTATTTGAAAATAAATTTGGTATGAAAAATGCCAATTGCATTGGCTGTTATTTTAATTCAGTGATTTTTAATTTACAAGAAACATGTGCCTAGATTATGTAAATTGCAATTATTTGGCTTGCTTTTTTAAAGCAATGTAACTTACCAGAAACTGGAAGTTTTTTCCATCCAATATTTGTGTGCTGTATCCCTTGTAATTTTTTTATTACTCATGCTGGGTACTATTGGGTAGTTTCTGTTCCTTTGATTGATGTCAGTAGCCCATCAGTGTTGATAGTGGAGAATTTGCCACTTGCACGTTTCCTGATCACTGAGAATAAACTCTCATTCACTAATTACAGTTCTGAGAATGTTTGTGCAAATCATTAAGAGAATTATGCATGTGGTTTTTATTTTTAAATGAACTAGATAAACAATTTGGGTAATTAAGTATTATCTTAGTAACTTTCAGTGGCTCTCATGTAAAACTGCGTCATTGAGGCTGGGGTCCCTCGCATAGTTCTACATCATGATCCTCTTCAAGGGGGGCTCCTTGGCGTGGTGAAGAGGCTCTTGGTCTGAGGAATTAGCCCTGTCGGTCTTCTTCTAGACCGAACCTAATTACCCCCATCCTCTCCCCTCCCTATTCCCATCCTCCCCATCTCCCTTTTTACATTCCTTCCTCTCTCTCCTCAACCCTCCCTTTTGCCCTTCCTCTTTTTAGCCTTCGTGATTTCTCCCACAGGCGCGCTAGTTCCTGGTAGGGGAAAGGGGACACCGGGGGTCCATCCCATTCCGTTTGAGGTTTCTTGGCGGTGGCGTAGTTTGCCGAGGAATATGGATTGCCTAGGCGGATGTCCGATCCTCTCCGGTATCCGGAGTAGCTTTGGGGTTGTCTTTGGGCGACGGGGGTATCTCTGGAACCCCTTCGGATTTCCGGGGGGTGGTGGCTGAAGGAGGTATGCTTTGTGGCGGTATCGGCCGCACTCTCTTTTGTCCACCAGAGGGTGGCTCGGCTGATGTGAGGTTGCTTCCCAGATTGCTGGTTTACTGGCATGTAGAGTAGGTGTATGGACGGGTTCAATGCTGCATCTGCGTACTAGCGGTGTCGAGTCCTCTTGGGAGCGGAGGGAGATTTCCTGACCCCTTTCATTCCTCCTCATGGAAACTATCCCTCCCGGTTTCCCCCCACTTTCCCTCCCCCCTTTTTTTTTTCTTTTTTTTTGTTTTTATTTTCTTTTCTTCATTGTCTTTTTTGTTCTTAAAAAACAAAGAAAGAAAGTAACCTAACCTTGGCAGCCCTAGTTCCAGAAACCTCAGTACCCCCGGGCCCCTTCTTGATACCGCACCCCGTTCTGACCCCGCCTCGTCTTTGACACTCTTCAGACATTCCTCATGCCTCTGTAACTACTGCCGGTGCTGTTTCCTCACCCGCTTTCAGGTTACGGAGGCCTCGATGACTCCTTCGATTAAAGACCTTCGCTCTCCTCGAATATGCTTCGGCCTCTCCCTCTACGGTGCGGACAATTTTCAAATGCCGACCCGTTCCACGTCGGACCAAATTGGTCCACGCCTAAACGTCAACGACACATTACCTGTGATGTTTACTTCTCACCTTCACTCTCGTTCTTTCAGAAACGGATTGACACGTCCTTTCACTACTTTCCACGCTCAGTTTCAGACTGAACAGTGGACTAATTTTCTTCACTTTACGACAAACTTCCTCTACTGCCTTATCTTTCTGACCAATTATTGGCAAGGCACTCCTACGCCATGTTGGTAAAGATATTTCTTTTCATGCTCTTAGGCGGTACGCGCTTCATTACCAGTACAGGACATGCTACCAGGCTCGTGAGCTCTCTCGTCTTTTCCCATATAGATTACTGTCCTGTCACCTTGAAAAACAATCATTCCCTCAATTCTTGTAGTGTGTACCGTTATTCTGACCCATACATAGTTCAACAAAATTTCCAGGACATGTGCACCGAAATCATTCTCGAACAGCTGGAAATCCAAGATCTCCCAATCCTCAAGGTAGAACTTAGTATCTTCCTGCCCGTGGGGGAGACGTTACCTAGCAATGTGGCTCGTTTTAACTTTGACGGGCCAGAACTCCCATCCTCCGTTTATATAGCAGGGACATCGGTTACAGTTCGAAAGGTGATCCCTACACCACAACAGTGTAGAAATTGTGGCGATTTGGGGCTACCAGCGAAATTTTGAGATCTATCGCCGAATGCAAGTCGTGGTTGCGATGACCATTCTAATACGTTTGCAATCGATCTCCCTCTTGCCTTAACTGTCATGAGGCTCACCTTCAGTTACTTCTCGCGTTGTCAGGTCTATTTAAACGACGCGGGTAATCCGTTCCTCTAGAGACAGAAGGGGCTCCCTTATGCATGGCAGATTCTCATCCTCCGCCTCCAAGGGAGACTCCCACGTGTTTCTTATTCCCGTGTTTCAAAAACGTCCCCCCACTTCTGGTATCCATCTTCTACACCCCACCTTGTGGTTACCACTCCCATAATCACTCCTGTATCTAATCCTTTTGCTGTCCTCGGACTCAGGACGTCCCTACTTCAACGACTCAGTCTAATCTCGCTTCTTCGAGTTCTCTCTTAACAAGCCTCAGTATCGACGAGACCTCGTACGACACCTCTTCCAATGTCCTCTACTTCTCAAAGTCAAAAAAAAGGTCCGGTAACACCTCACCCATCTTCCACCTCCTCATTTTACCCTCCCTTCTCGTCCCTGTTCTTTCCCTCTCGACTGGCTCTTACATGTGCAGAGGTTCACCCTCCTCCTCGTAATGTACCTTCTCCCTGTTCCCTCCAAGTTTCTTCCTCTTCTGCCACCTCACAGGTTCCTGGCTCTTCTGCCCTGCACGCTTCTCTCAGTTCCCTCCACCCTTTTCGCCCCACTCTACCTTGGTACAGTCCATTACGTTCCAATTACTTTACTCATCGCTCCCCCTACATTCCCACTATTGTCTCCCATACTGACATCTCTGAATCGAAACACTTGAAGCATCTCTGAATATATTGCAGAGACCAAACCATCAATGGACACTGATCCACCTTCCGCTCTTTCTCCTCCTCTGCTCCATCTGCGAACTCCTTTCTTCTCAGCGCACCGTTCCCTTCGCTGCTTGAACATTTTCACTGCCTCCGCTTGTGGACTTTTCGAACCCTTCTGGCGTAGGAACCCTTACCTGCTGGATGTTTCCAAGTATCTTTATCATGCCAATTCATGGCCTTTTTACAGTGGAATATTACGCGGCCTCCGGGTGGTAATCGGGTGAGCTTTCAGATGTTACTCTCCAGTTTGTTTTTACCCCTGTGGTTGTTTGCTTCAGGAACCAAAATTACACTCTGCTGTTATTTTACACATCTCAGGGCTATAATTTGTTGTATTCCTCGACCTTTTCCTGATGCGGTCCTTTAAGAAAGTGCCCTTCTTCTCCGCACTGAATTCCGTCAATCAACTATTTTATTCATTCTTTCGCTGCATTACACAGCAGCCCGTATCCACTTACATAGGTGGTATACCTCTGTTCTTTATTATCTCTCTCCTTCTCGGGCTTTTAGCTATTCCGGATTTTGCTTCCTTGTTTCGTCATTACCGCCACCGTTTCTGTTACTTGGTGATTTTATATGCCCCGCATTACGCTGGGAGAGGTCTCACTGTTGATTCCCGTTGGAATTCTGTCTAGAGGCTTTTCTTGACCTACCCACCCCCTCCATGTTTTAAATCAAAACAGGGACCTCACACCCTATTTTGATCCTCGGACTCCATACTCTCTCTTGCATCGATCTCTCATATGCTCTTCCCACCGCGCATTAGACTTTACTTGGGTCTGTCTCTCCGGACTTACATTGACAGTGATCATTTCCCCAATCATTCTTTCTTTCCCTTCATATTCGCCACCTGCTTCGCACCCACGCTGTGCAATTTAATCGGGGAGCGCAAATTGGAACCTTTACTCACACTGACTGTTTTTAAAGAGGTTCTGGGTTCTTCGTCCTCCATCGATGAGCTTTACACTTCTTCTCGTCCTCCGTTTTCACCGAACAGTTCTCATTCTTTACCCCAAACTTCGGGCAGGCAATCTCAGAAATGCGTGCCTTGGTGGTCTCCTGCTGTGCTCGTGCAGTAGTTTGAAACGCGGCTGCATGGGGCAGGTACCGGACATAGAACCACAGAGGCGACTCCTTGATTTTCAAAACAGAAGCGTGCGCGATGATCGCCGTGTCATCCGTGACGCTAAACGCACGTGCTGGCGAGAGATTATGGTCTCCACCATCACATCTGCTTCACTGTGAGTGCACAGTCTGGAAAAAAGTACGAAAACTGAGTGGTAAATATTCTCCTGACCCGGCTCCTGTTCTGCGGGTTGCCGGTGTTGATATAGCAAACCCACTAGATGTTGCCAATGAAATTGGCAATCATCTGGTCCGTATTTCTCAGGGACTCCATCTATGCCCCTCATTTCTTTCCTCAAAGTCTGCCAGAGAGTTAGCACCCTTGGACTTTTCTTCTCTCAGAGAAGAACAGTATAATGTGCCTTTTACACTTCAAGAACTGGAGGCAACACTCTCAGCTTGTCGATCATCGGCAGCTGGGCCCGACGACATTCATATTCGTATGCTACAACATTTACATCAGTCAGCCCTTGCAGTCCTATTACGCCTTTACAATCTTATTTGGTCACAAAGGAGTTCTTCCACAGCTGTGGAAATCCGCCATTGTTCTCCCTTTCCGCAAACCAGGCACTACGGGACATGAAACCTCCCACTATCGTCCCATTGCTCTTACCAGTGCAGTTTGCAAAGTAATGGAACGTCTAGTAAATAGACGTTTAGTGTGGTATTTAGAGACACACAACAGTCTCTCCACTCGTCAATATGGCTTTCGTAAGGGACGTTCTACCATAGACCCCTTACTGCGCTTGGATACGTATGTTCGTAATGCCTTTGCGAATAACCACTCAGTTATTGCCATATTTTTTGACCTTGAGAAGGCATATGACACAACTTGGAGGTATAATATTTTAGCCCAAGTCCACTCCTTAGGCCTTCGAGGCCAAATCTACCATCCTTCCTTAAAGCACTTTTTAACTGACAGGCATTTCCGTGATCGGGTTTATAATAATGTGCCTCCCGTACTTTGTCCAAGCGAAGGTGTCCCCAGGGATTGTGTTTGAGCACAACACTTTTTCTCCTTGCTATTCAAGATTTGGCTCTAGTTTCCATCAAATATTTGGTTAACTCTATGTTGATGACTTCGGCTATGCCTGTGCAGGCGCTGACTGTCACCTTCCTTACAGTTTCTCTCAGCATGCAGTCGGACCGTGTTTCCAATTGGGCCACCACACATGGGTTTAAATTTTCCAGCACTAAAACCACCAAAATCACTTTCACTAGACGCTCTGTCATCTCTGATCATTCTTTGTACCTCTATGGCTCAGTTATCCCTGACGTGATACAGTCAAGTTTCTGGGCCTCCTCTTTGATCAGTTATAGGTTATCCTGGAAAACCTCACTGTACCTCTTGAAGGCAAACTTGTCACAGCGGCTGAACCTCTTAAAACCTTTGCTCATCTTTCGTTGGGGAGCTGATCGTCGAAATCCTCCTTACCTACATTCACCCTTATTTTATTGAAACTTGATTATGGTGACCAGATCTATTCAGCGGCATCTCCTGCTACTATCTCTAGCCTTAACTCCTTTCATCACAAGGATTACGTTTATGCCTTGGTGCTTTTCGCTCTTCCCCTGTCGAAAGCCTCCTATGCTGAGCGAACGTTCCATTCCCTCACCCTCCCCCCGCTTTTCCATCCCGCTCCCACCCCCCCACCACCCCCCTCCCCCCTCTACCACTCCTCCCCCGCACCCCACATCCGCATACCCCCCGCCTCCCACCCCCCCCCGCCAACCCCCCCCCCCCCCCCCCCACCCCCCCCCATCTCCCACCTCACAACTCCCCCCCCCTCACCCCCCCCCTTCCCCCCCCCCCTACTCATACCCCCCCCCACGACAGCCCTCCCTTCCCCCCCCCACCCCTCTCCCCTCCTCACCCTAATCCACCACCCCCCCCCCCCCCACCCCCCCCCACCCCTCTCCGCCCCCCCCAACCTTATCGATCGCCGTGATGCCTTGCCTGCGCTACTAGGTACGCTATCTTGATTCTCCGCACAATCCTTCCTTTTATAGAATGGTCCTGATATTTGTTGACGTTACTTTATTTGTTCGCCGCCCCTGCTTTACTCCGTTCCCTTCTCTCTTCGCCTTCATTAGATCTTGTCGGTTCTCTTATATACCTCCTTTTCTATGTCCGGGTTGGCTTCTCACTTTTTCCTTAACCCCCCTGGGTAAGTTCCAGGCTGTTCGTGTCTGTTATTTATCCCTCCCTTGCTCGAATGCAAATCTGTCTTCGGTTCGCTTCCCGCTCTCTTTTTCTTGCATTCTTTCACTCTCATTCATCATGCCATTGCGTTGTTACCACAGGATGGCTCTAAGTCTTCGGACGGCGTAGGATTCGCAGCAGTGTTCCGGACGCAGCGTCGTACAAGGGCATTGACTATCTTCAGCTTGTATTTTTACTGACTGAATTATATTGCCATCCTTACAGGCATTTCCGTATTGCCATCTATGCATGTGTCATCATTTGTGGTTTGACTCAGACTCCCTTAGTGCTTTCAGGCTTTACAAAAATTTGTTACACCTCACCCATTTGTCCCTCCGTATCCAACTTTGCTACGCCGCCATCTTTACTAAGCATAACGATATTGTTTTTTGTTGGGTCCTGGTCATGTTGACGTACAGGGCAATGAACAGGCAGACACTGCTGCGCGGTCAGCAGTACTATGACCTCCAGGTTTTTTATAGAGGTATTCTCCATCGTATGGACTATTTTGCTGTAAATATCTTCCTCCGTCACACCGTTTTGCAACAACGTTGGGTCTACTATGACTCGGCAACAAAACTTCAGTTATTAAACGTGTATAGGTTACTGGCACGTCTTCTTATCACCGTTCAGTTGTCGAGTTGGGAGGACTACTCTCTCCCGTCTGCGCTTGCCATACTCGTTCTTACTCCTGGATATCTCATGGAGAGGCGTCTTGCTCCTCTCTGTGAGAATTGCCAAGCTCAATTATCAAGTCAGCCACATTCTGTTGGACAGCCCACTATATCAACGAGCACGCAGAAATTTACCTCTGTCGTCGTCTTCGCCCGAGTCTTCTCTTTATCCTTCCCTTCTCGTGATGGAACCCACCTTTCATCCGGAATCTCTCATTGACTTTTTGTCAACGACTGGACTTACTTCACAAATTCTGATACTTTCAGCCCTTTTCTACTTGTTATCTCTTGCTACCTCTACCCCCGTATATCCCCTGCCCCGCTGGTGTTTTCTGTAACCTGCTGATCATCCCCCACTCCCTTCTGACCATCCAATTCCCTTGCTTCCTTCCCTACCCTGCAGCGCTGTATAGCCCTTGTGGCTTAGCGCTTCTTTTTGATTATAATAATAATAATAATGGGGTTTATTATACAACCTGGCCAGCTCGGAGACAGGCACTCCACTTTCATACTTATCAATGATCTCTTTCTTCATCTGTATAGTAATTCTCACCCTTGTTCCTGTAGGGTTGGCACTAGAAGCTTTCTTGGGGCCCATGGTCACTTATTTTGCAGATAAAATCACCAAAAACACTGTAATAATACGAAATATTCCGATTGTATGCTTGGATGTTACCGCGGTGGCTGGCTGGTAAACAATGCCACCGACGGAACATGTGAGGCTGGCTAATGCCGCACATTAGACGCGTCTCGGACGAACAGCGTTGAGTGTTTTTTTTTTAGCATTATGCGAGGCAAAATCTTAGCGATAAAACGTATCGGTATGCAGATTTAACGTTATGTAAGGCCAACGGTATGCGGGGGTCCACTGTACAAGTAAAAGTTATGCTGTAGAAAAAGCCCAGTAATGTCTATTGAAATTTTCAAATGTATCATAATTACGTATGCAACAATGTACGATCCAACTGCATAAAATTAGTAACTGTCACAAAATTTTCTGTTATATTAATGTTTTGCTTAGTCAGCAAGGTCAAAATCTGGTATCAGGGTTGTAATGAAAGTTTTTTTTCTTTCTTTAAGCTTAATTTGCAATATAAATATGGGTCCCTGTAATTCAGCTAAGTTTCTGAAATCACCACTGAAATTTGTACAAGGACACCTTAACACGAGGTTCTAGTTGCTCTATAACTGAAAAATTCCTGGTTTTCATTATAACGTTGTGCAAGTGAAAAATCACCATATTTTAAGGCCTGTTTTTACCCTTAACCCCTTCAGGGTCCAAGGCCAAAATCTGAAGTGGTACCACGCTCCAGTGTCCAAGAAATTTGAAAAAAAAAAAAAAAATTATTTTTTTTTTACAGAATTAGAGTATATTTTTGTTAAGGTAATAAGACAAAAAAAAGTTTTTTTCTGATCAGTACTTACCGAGATACAGTGGTGGGAAGTTGACCCAAAATGACCAGGTGGCGGCAACATCAGTGACTTCCGCAAAATCCCATTTTTTATATTTTATGTTTTTTTGTATTTTTTCTTTTCTTTTATATTTTTTTTCTTTTTCTAATAACATTTGTGGCCTGTGAGACCAGTATAATGTATATTGTATAAGTGTACACTCATTGTATTGAACACAATAACTGCACTAATTTGTTTATCATTATATTGCTTACAAAACTTGTAAACAAGTTAATTGTAAACGAAATGATGAAAATATTACTGCGGTTATTGTGAATACAATATGGTGCAATGGCACATGATACAATGGTACCATATGATACAATGGTACCATATGATACAATGGTACCATATGATACAATGGTACCATATGATACAATGATACCATATGGAAGAATGGCACCATTTGGTACAATGGTACCATATAGTACCATATGGTACAATGGTGCCATAGGGTGCAATGGTACCATAGGGTGCAATGGCATCATATGATACAATGGTACCATATGGCACAATGGCACATGATACAATGGTACCATATACAATGGTGCCATATGGTGCAATGGTACCTGATGGTACCATATGGTGTAATGGTACCATATGGTACCATATGATGCAACAGTACCATATGGTACATTGTACCATACAGTACAATGATACCATATGGTTCATTGTACCATATGGTACTGTTGTATTCAACACACTAATATTTTCATTATTGTTTACAATAATTGTTTACAACAAAAATATGCAAAAATGTTGTATATTAGTAATGTTCTATTATATA